TAATTCGCGTGCACTTTGATAAAAAATACAATTAATTAATAAATAAATAAAATCACTTGTTTATGAGCTACATGCTCTCCGGCTAATTTGGGGAGAAGCTGAATTTAAATTAAACATTTCTCGAGGAAGAAATTCGCTGATTATTTATCGGATTGAGAGACAGATTTAACGTGTTTTTAAATCGAAGTATTCCGCCAGTAAAAGCATAAAAAATTTCATACAACAGTTACACGTTTAAAAAGGATAAAATGCAAAATTTTATTGAGATAACGATTACGGGGATCGGGGAAAAATATTTACTCTCGACACACACAGTCAATTATAAATCTCTCTATATCTCTCCGCGTCTCGCGTGTTCCGTGTCCCCGCATAAAACGGGGATAAATAAACTTCCGGCGTGCCCCCAAGGTACGCGACGTTGTCACGAGAAGAGAATTTAACAATTCCACGAAGGGGGGAGCGAAGGGAAAAGTCACGCGGGGATTGCGCGAATACACAGTCTTTTCCTCGGCCATTTAAATTTCTCGTCGCGAGTTTTATATTCGCGAGTGCCGCGGGATAGAAGTTCATACGGCGGACAGATCGACGCTATTTCGCAAATGAAATCCAAAGGGGGGTACGAGGGGGAGGGGAAGGGTAAATTACACGACAGCGTACGGCCTTTCGAGAATACCGGCCTCCCCCTTACGTGTAATTACATATCGTATTTACATACGTACGTCCATTATCGCCCGGCGAGATCTTTATTTTGCATTCGAGCACGCACACACGCCGCACACCGCGAATCGGCCGCGCGCGAGACGCCCTGGCGTCTCGCGCGTCGCGGACAAAGACCGGAAAAATACGAATTTCTAATCGCGATCGTAATCGTAACGCGCGTGCGACTCGATTGTTGCCGACTGCCTGCGGGGAGAAGAAAAGAATCCGCGATATAATAAAGGAGCGAAAGTGCGGTGAGAAAAACCGGGGGAAAACGCAGACTGACCCAGAATTGCCGAGTCGTCAGCTCGGTTTATCCGAGCGAACGCACAGAGGCGATTTTTAACGTTTTCAAATTAGCTTTAAATATATAAAAACGTGATCTTAAGTCTTATTTTAAGAGGAAGTATATTGACTAAATATATACATATAAGATAGATAAAGGTAGTCCAGTATATAATTAAGGATAATTAAAAAAACTTTTTTCTCCGATTGTCATGGAAATAAGAATTTTAATCGCGAATGCACATTAATTTTAATGAAAAATTCTCTCGGGGTTCGGGCGAAGGGTTAATAGAAATTTAATGCGAAGTTTGATATTTTCGCCGAGGCGGTCGATGCGAATTTAATTAAAAATCCGCGACCCCCGGATGTCGGCTTGTCGCGCTGAAATTTTCCGGCCGAGAGAACCCCTTTCGGAGGAGAAATCTTCGTCGATCGCGCGGAGACCATCGCCGTCGCCGGCAGCGGAACGTTGATTTTCGTTCCGTCCTCGAAACGGAGCCTCTCCGTACCGCGAAAAGGCGGACGCGAAAAGGCAGGCGCTCGTGAATCTGTCGTGACGTGTAAAAAAAATCTAATATGCCCGACACCATTACGGGGATAAATCCGCCCGCGGGCGGGCGTCGCCCTACATTCTCGTCCGCGGTCCCACGCGGCAGTCGCCAGAGAATTACAGATCCGACGCGGATCGTCAAACGGAAGCGGGACAGGTCCGCGCCTGCAATCGCGCCCGCGAGCGAAATGAACGTCGACGGCTTGAAATAAATTATTAAATCCGATTTAAAAATTTGTCCCGATCCGAGGCGGTGCCAAACGCCGAGCATTATTACCTCGGGCTCGGAGCCGGATTATCACGAGACCGCGCGGTGAAAAATTTGTTATCAATCGCGTATACGCGAACGAAAATCGCTGCGGGCGGAGCGAAAATCGACCACTAAATCCTATAAAAACCGCCGATCCGCGGCGAATCGTCAAATACAGCGCGGACATTATTAGCCCGAAGCAGATTATCGAGTGCGACGTGGAGATCAGTTGAAAGCAGATCAAACGCGGTCGAAAGTAATCGGTGCTTCGCAGCAAAATGCTGTTGCGTGTTTCTCTTATTCAATTTTCATATCGCATTATTTCTGCTTAAATATTATGAGATTTTCCAAATTCGAAGCTAAAACGCGATGTTACGTCCGATCTGACTGATTATTTTTTTTCCTCTCTGGTTCGTATCAATATTGCCGGGGTCCGCTCTGTACGCGTCGGGGCGCAATATCCCAGTTGGAGTACACTCCGCGTAGACGAGGAGAGGAAACGCGAAACTGATAGTCGTTGGTAGAGTTCTCTTCACTTTATTAAATTCGCGAACGTGGCGATTTTGACGCCCTTCGCTCCGAACTTTGGAGCTATCGCTCCGATTTCACAGTTTCGGATTTGTTCCAATATTATCGCGCTCGATGTGTCGCTCTCGTGGCTTCTGTAGGCTCACTGCATTCCTGGCCGCGACCGAGGAACGTTTCCGCGCGCGAAACGCGTGATCGAAGCGTGATCAACGCCCGTCTTCGCAGGCATGGAGTGTCTATGTTAGAGTTGATCAAGGAAGAGTTAAGCCAATGGTGTTCCTTTCGCTGATTGGCTCCGCTATTTCCTGATCAGCGCTTCCGGTTCTTTAGTGGAAGTGAGACAAAGCTATAAGTGGGAGTGAGACAAAGCTGTAACATACTGTACATTGGTCCGCAATTTATCGGCAAGACGTTAGTGGGAGTGAGACAAAGCTACGGTATTCGCACAACTCTATACTTATATAGGAACTCTAGTCTATGTCTGATTTCTATTGGCCGATGCCTTGTTTCGTAAATATTTGATCACGCGTTTCACACCTGCGGTGACAAGCTTCATACACTCTCGCATTATCTTTATTGCCGATAAGAAAAAATTAATATTACGCATTGGATGAATTAACAACGGATTATCTATCCGTCTGTTTCCCCGGAGGACTTCCTGCCCCCTGCCCTTCCCCCGTTCCCCGCCATACGTTATTTCCCATTATCGTTCAAATGCGACAGTAATTGGTTTTCTATCATTGCGCGCGCGTTAATGGCAATTTTAAATTAACGCCGGTGAATATCCGTCGTAATTAACGGTTCAACTGTTTCAATGCGGGGCGCAAGCCACTGTGTCGTTGTAGGATATATATTACCAAACAGAGAGCGGGGAGGGAAGGACGGGGGAGCCCATCTCTCACGCGACGCATTTACTCGTGTAATTAATATCTTTTTCGGATGTATGTACATTAAATTTCCGCATTACGGCCCCGTTCGATATGATTCAACGAGTCGGGACGATCCGCGATTTTTCTCCTCTCGCGGCAGGAGATGGCGAAGATAAACGACGGGCTTGTCTCCTCTTCGTCGTCCTCCTCCTCCTCTCTTTCCGCTTCCGCTTCCGGCGCGACGCGCGCCATCCGCGCATGATTGTTAATATACCGTTTTATTAATTCACGAGAATTGTCATCGCTCGCGCGCGCGATCTTGCGAGCCTTTGTGAACGCCTCTCTAACTCTTTCCCTGCATGCAACGACGAGATGGATCTTTAAGAATGAATTTTACTCCCGCGTTTGCGGAAGCATCGACATGCGGAAATTGCGGTACCCCCCTCCCCCTCCAGCGGCTTGTGAAATGATCAATAATAACGAAGTAATCACAATACAATGTACATAATAAATTACAATATCGGGGGAAAGAGGTTTACATACATGAAATGTAAAATATAGAAGGGGGCACATAATGTAAAAATTTCCAATCGTAACGAACAAGTATGAAAAACATTATTATTAATGTCGATGTAAATGAGGTAAATGGTAATAAGAAGCAGAAAATTATGGACGGTTAATCGTGAATCGTAAATACCGGCTCGGTCTAATTGCCCGAAAATTCTGCGCCATCACGTCTCGCGAAACTAAAACTCTTTTCGCGAGACGTACGCCGCGTAAATTCAACGAATTATGATTTCACAAATTCATACAGTGTACTGTGTACTTGGTCAAACGATAACCCGAATGGAGTTCGTTATTTTTCCACCGCGACGGGCAGTGTTCATTTCGCCGCTGGCAATCAAGTGCTCTCATTAATAAAGCATTTGGGGCATAAATTAATTATCGGTCCGACCGTCCCGCGCGCGCAGCAGAGTTTTCCGTCCCGTTTTTGCCTCACGCTCGATTGTAACCCCGCTCGATTATTCCGAAAATCGACCGGTCCGTTCGCGGAGTCGACAGTTCCTCTCTCATGGGAGAGAAACACGCCGGATTATTTTCGTCGATCTCTTTTCTATCTTCGATTGAATGTCGCGAGTTTATTTCGCGCTGCGAGCAATAATTCTCAAAGCCTTCTCTCTCTCTCTTTCTCTCTCTCTCTCTCTTTCTCTCTTTCTCTTTTACTTTCTCAATGGGCGCTAATTTTTTTGTAGTCGGCCACGGAAAATCCGCGATAAATCGAAAAGCGCGATAAAAAGAGGCGTCCGCCGCGGGCGAGAAATTAATCGCTGCCCGGAAGGTCTCGGACGTGTTAAGTGATGAATTAAAAGGATTTTTCCGCCGATGGGCGAGATATACGTTATACGGTGAACCAACAACTAATTACGGGTTACGGCGCCTAAATCAATTGCTAGAGCTTCGCAAGGTATAATAATACAAATAAAGAATTACGATAAACGGATGAGGGAGAGATATAACCGCGTCGGCCAATATTCGGCTGTCGTCGTTTCAACTTCATATATTTAACGCTAAACGCGTGATTTGTCAGTTTCAAATTATGTATCTATCTATGGAGTATGGATAATGCAATATTCTCGATACGGATTTTATTATATTAGATCGAAACGTGACTTCATGCGCGTTTTAATTTATGATTTATATTTATTCGATAAGAATCTCATGTATAAATAGATAGAACTTTTTTCTAAGTTTACTTTTGATGGAAGATACGTAAATAGATTATTTTCCGAAGTAACATTTTCATTCTTTCTTCTTTCAGGGGACATCATCCACTGCTCGGGAGCACGAGACACAAATCAGCTGGTATGTCAAATAATCAGCTGGTTGACTCCTGTCTGTAAGTGTCTTTCTCTATGTTAAATTAAAACCGCGGCAGAATTCTCACACGCTTCCCTGATTATCGTGTACGATAAGAAATTAACATTGTATGTCTCGTCGTAATATCATCTCCAAGCTATTCATTACCATCGATCGCGCAGATCTCCCCTGGATCATTACACTCTTCCATTTTCGGCATTTCCATTTTGTTTCCTCAACAATCTGTGGTATATCTATATATTCGCAATAAATTCCGCCAGTAATTCGCGCAACATTTTCTCGGGCTCTCTCGCGGTAAACTCCAGTCTTACTCCCTGACGACTTTGACGTCAACTTTCCTTTGCGATAATTCAGGTATAATTACAAAGTTACCTAACGTGAAGGATTAAAAAGGGTTTCCGGCCGCGGGCTTGAAAATAAACAACGAAGCCTCGTTTTCTCCTCTGGATTATCCAGCGGAACTCCGCGCCGAATTGCCTTTAATTCGAGAACGGCTCCTCTCGTATTTAAATATCGTAAACGTTGAAAAAAAGCCCCCGAGGCCGCACGATGGTGCGTCTCCGGCGAAAAAGACAGTTACAACGACACTAGACGCGAGAATTAAAGACGAGAACGAACGATTTTGATAATTCTGCGAATGATCAACCATTAGGCTGGTGAATCGCCGGATTGAGCAGAGACAGGAGCACAACATAACTCGCACTGAGATCACGCAGAGGTGAATAATCATGCATTAATCATGCGGTTTACTCACGCTGAAACTCGCGGGAGCGTACGATCAATTTTATCCCATTAATTACGAATTCTCTCTGTATCGATCTGCTATCGCTACGGCGATTTACGCGCGCGCGCGCGCGCGTGCGTAATCTTATTAACCCGACAATTGGTGTAATAAAACCTTACAAAGGATGTCAATTTCCACGGGTGACGAAGGCGACCGCGTTTATCGGCGACCGATCTCCATAACGCGCGCGAGGATATCATCGCGCGCGTAAACCGTTACGAACGCGCATTCTAAATTGTCGGGGCGGCCTAATTAGCGCTAATTGACCCGACATTGTCGCGTAATTTCTAATAACCCGCTAAATCCCGCTAAGACGTACGTTAACGCTTTCGGAGTGAGTAATACCGCCCCGCACATCGACGCATGTTTGTGCAATCATTTAGCATGACCGGTGTGACGTGGCCGAGAAGGAGAGGATGCTCCGACGCAATTAGTATCATTCTCCTCGAGATCACCGTCGCGCCTAGCTGCTGTGTGCATCCCTTCGTTTTGTATACTTGGTTTGCTTTTCATTACGCGTCAATCACGCGCGCGCAAAGTGTTGCTCGTCGCCACACAAACGACTTTCGTGTGTTTTATGAGATAATTCGCGTGTTCTTCGATCAATTTTTCTTGAAAATATCGAGAGCAGTTTTTTATATATGTAAAGGATATAAAGCAACAAGACATTGGTCTTCGTTTAATATTAATTTAAAAGAAATTCAAAATAGATCGTGGTAAAAGATTTCGCTAATAAGAAATCAATCCTGAATCGATCGAAGAATACGGCTGAAAGTTCGTTAACCTGTTTCATGTAATTATCTTGTTAATTATCTTGCGTGTGCTATAATCTGATCGGTGGTTTATTATTTCAAACATGAATGAAATACCGCCGTGTAAAACTATCACTTTGACTGCGATATCAACCATATCTGAGTGACGCATAAGTTTCCGCAAGGGCGCTGTCATCAGTGTCATATCCATTTGTGGCTGTGATAGTTTTATTTTCACGCTTAAGAACAATTTTACTAAGTATTAAGACATTAAAAAAATAATATAAATTATATTATATTAAAAAGATTTAAGTATAAAAATAATACGCTATTAAAAACCAAGTTATTCATTTTTTATTTGTCTGCTCTAGTTCAATCATAAAAATATCGATTATTTCGGTTTGTGAGGGACAGTTTTATTTGTGTCCCATCTGAAATTATATTATTAGAAATGTAATAATAAAATATATAATATATAAATATATTATACAACAGGAGAGCTTGAGTCGCCAGTGAATAATTAAAAATCAATAGAGGTATAATGATCGACCCGGTAGAATGATGTCAGAAAACACACGGGCAAACAGTCCGTAGTGAGCGAGCACCGAATATCTTACGGGCACGATTTCGATTGGAAAAAACCACAAGTAATCCATAAAAAGAGACAGATCAGAAAGAGGGAATTGGCGGAGATGTTTTTTATTAAAAAATTCGATGACACCATTAACTTACAAAAGGACACGGAGAATCTTAATGTTCTCTACGAACACATTATAAAGGAAATTTAATTGTTTTTCTCCTTCTTCGCCACTTCTCTCTCCACGACATAGTTTGTTATTGACGACACGCGTCTGTCTCATATTTTCAAGTTTGTCAGTATGGAATTTGCCACCGCACGGCTCCGACACAACGAATTATGCCGTTTAACAAGTATTCTATTGTTTTAATTTCAACGCACAAATATGTAAGTTCAAGTTTATATAGTTATTTACATTCTTTTTTATATTTTTTTATATTTATTGCGGAGCTCTCAACTGTGTTGCTTAGTTTTTAGATTCGACATAGTTTGGACATTATGTCTGACCAATCAATATTTGTGAGTACGCACACGCTTGAAAAGGACCGGAATCTACGGTCGAAACGTAGCGTTGTATTGAGCAAAAAAACTTGGCCAGTTGGGTCGATCATTATACCTCTATTAATTTTTAATATATTATAGTTTTTATATTTATTTATTTTTTAGTATTATGGCTCATTTTGTAATGTGACTCTTGTTTTATAAACAGCCGTGCACTTTTCGACTTTGGGCCTACCAGAGGCCTCAATGTCGAAATTACAGCTTTGACAGTCAGTATTAAAGTGCTACCCTTGTTTCAGAAAATAATACCCTGTAGAATTTATATTATAGCTTCGCTAGTATTATAAAATGTCAATTATCGCAAGATATTTCCCCCTTTCTCTTTCACTTTCTTCTAGCTGCCTTCTCTTAAACAGTACGTTAGTATTTCATAAAGCATTTCCTTGCATGCCGAGATATATGTATAGCGAGTCTCAAAGTGAAACGTTTCGTTTTTCAGACGCGTCCTACAGGAGAAAGCCCCCGACATGCCGCAATACACGTAAGCTCGCTGTATAGTAATTTGCGATATCACACAACGCTACGATACGCAATTTCTGTCGATCTCTCATTTCTCTGATTCACCTGCCGTAGCGGACAGGGCGACACGGACTACCATGGAAGTAACGGACAGGCGGACACCCACTCGTTGCACTCGTCTCATCTGTCCGTCCAGGAGGATCCGCTGCTTATCCGGACCCACAAGCAACAGACTTCTCAACAAGTGAGACCGACTCTCCGGCCGATATACTTCCGAAATTTCGCGCGCGACCCGTTCTTCCGAAAGTTTATTCACCCGTCGACAGTTATTATAAGAGCACAATTCAGTAAAGCAGCATTGCATTAAAGGAAATTTAAAAATTCTTTATTACACTGTTAAATATTATAAAGGATGAAATTTAAATCAATACCTTGAATCAGATGAAATTTGGTTATTTTTAACTGTGTGTCGAAATTTATTATTTTAAAATATTGTAGTATTATTTTAACCTCATTGATTTAGTTTTTAGTTAAAATAACGTTAAATTAAATTAATATATTGAGCAGCAGCGACCTATAGGAATGGTTAAAAATTCAGTATACTTTGATGTTGAATTTAACAGTGTATAATATTTATTTTGTTTTAATAACTTTTATATCTATATATCATTTCAAGAGCGATTTTTCTATTTACATCTGTCTCTAATGTCTTTTTATGCCTAAACGTACATACGTTAAAAATGAAAATGAAGTGAATTTGTTCAGTGAATTTCATCCGAAATCACCGGGACTTTTGTCGCGCCCCATTTCGGAAATCTAATCCCGCCATCGTCGATGTCGATATAATCGGATTTCGTACAACGCGCATCGTAGTACGACGCGCGCGAACGCGGATATTAACGTACGTGTTTCGCGCGGCGAAAAATCCTGTCGAATGAACACGCGCGAAAGAGAGAAACGGCGATGACACGGCGCCCCGCTTCCTTCCTCAGGTGACGACTGTGACGAAAGTCGTGCGCGAGGTTTCCCACATGGAGCCGGATCCGGGGGCGGTCAGTTACATGTCGGTGCCGTTGATGTCACAAGATTATCAGCACGCGGACCCCCGCTACCCCGCGGATCCGTACATGGTCAGCTTCGACCATTACGACCCGTACCTGGGTTACCCGCCGCAGCCGGGGTATCCGGGACCCCATGGCATCTACATGCCGCGCTCGCATTCTCCCCACAGCCCTCACAGCCCGTCGGAACACAGTCGTGCTTCTCCGCCACACGGTACGTAGCTCATCAGTGCCTTTTTCTCGTTCGATTTGGTAATTTTCAACTGTCGCAAACATTATCGACGAGCGAAATAAGCAAATATATTATTTATTATTGTGATATTTTGCCTAGATCGTTATATACATGTATAATAATCTAAAAGCTTAAAATTAGCAAGTGAAATTATATTATACTATAATAAATAATATAATACGTATATATAGAAACTTATTGAATAATATATCGAAATAAAATTTAACATATATTATTTGTTATAATATATGTAATATAATGATAAAGTATAGATTATAATAAATAATATATTCAATTTAATTTGACATATTGTCCAATAAGTATGTATATATGCGTAAAATGATTGAAAAATAGCAACTGGTATTATAACAGATAAATGATCATTTCGAAGAAAAATTTTTCCTCCGCGTCGAGGGAGATTATTAAACGTAACGTTGTTTCGAAAACGTTATATATATACCTCGTTTCTAAGACGTCTCGGAGGAGAGGCGGCACGCACGAAGTGAATCTTCGATAACAACATAAACACGGTGATCTGTTTTCCGTAGAGTACATGCGCAAGGGTGCACCTTACGTGGAGGGTAGCTATAACGACATCGACCCCGGCTTAAACCCCGCTTTGCAGGACCATTATCGCATTACTCCGAGTCCCGGTGGTCCTGGAGATCAGTATGGTAGGTGAACAGAGAGACTCCAACAAGTGCGATCCGGAGAAGGTCTCGCGCGCCGGGACGGCGAACTCGATTTTAACGTTCGCCACGACCGCGATTAAGATCGCGTCACGTGCGAAAACGGTAACGGCGAAAACGGCGCTTTACGCATACGACGCGGGGGGATGCCGCATAATTCACTTCGATTATCTCCTGACGTTACTTCACGTTCGCTCAAGATCGGATCGGCAACACGCGGAATAACGAATGGTCCCGGCGAGCCCTCTCAACGTCTTCCCCCGTGATGGAGGTCACATCCACCATTTATCTAACTCGCGTCCCTCCGGCCTCCGTTTTTCCCTTCTCATCTGTTAAACGGCTCTTTTAATATCTAAACGCAGATTAGTACTTCCCGTCCCCCCCCCCGCCTCCCTCGAACTCTTAATAACTTTATGTGACTTATTAAGGCTATCCATATTCCATTAAACCTGATTGAAAAATAACGTTATCTTCTTTTCACGATCGTTTGGCTAGACATGTGACACGTATAAGAGACCATTTAATCTGCCACGTAATACGATATAAAATTATTTTTGGACCCGTGATATATCATTTTTAACGGTATATATGGTTTTAATTTGGAATCACATCGCTTCTTTTTCGGTGTCTGTTTCATTTCCGAGGTCAAATGGAAAATAAATCGTAAAATATGAAATAAAGTGCCTCTTTGCAATTAAAATTAATATTTGTCATAAATGATTAAAAATTTGAAAAATTTTAATAAATGAGTAAAACTATTGATATTATATGTACTATATTTATATACGATATTATATCTTTTTAAAGCATATACAGAGTGTGTCATTTTAAATGTTCCAAACAAATTTCTCGAAAAATATGGAAGATACGAAAAAACGTTTCAAACCAAAGTTGTTTAAAACGTTTTTTCATGTCTTCTATATTTTTCGAGATATTTTCCATTTAAAATGGCAAACCCTATGCGAATCTTTTGAAAAGCACTATCGAATCCCGAAGTGAAGATAAGCGGTTATCGCTAAAGATAACGTAAGTGAATTATGCGCCTCCGAGAGTGAGACTCTTCGTCTTAGTTCGACGGCAACTTCGAGTAAGAACGACGTTAGATCGTAACACGATTAGTAATCGATGGCCTGTCCCGTTTCAGACGAGAGCAAAGTGGCCTATGGCTACGTGTCGCCGTCGCCATACGGTCCCGTGGGGTACGGGCCCGCCGTGGGGGTCGGGCCGGTGCCAAGTGACGTGCCTGGCTACGAGGAGGGTCACCCGGGGGTGCCCCTCACGTCGGCCGTGCCGCCCGGCATCTTCGAGGACGAGGTGCACCTGCAGCGACTGCAATCGCGTCATCCGGTGGTGCCGGGTATGGCGAGTCCGCTCGACGACGATCAGAAGTCCATGCGCTGGCGGGACCCGAACCTGTCCGAGGTGATCGGCTTCCTGAGCAACCCGAACAACATAATCAAGGCGAACGCGGCCGCGTATCTGCAGCACCTCTGCTACATGGACGACCCGAATAAGCAGAAGACGCGCAGCTTGGGCGGCATACCGCCGCTGGTGCAGCTGCTGGACCACGACAATCCGGACGTGTACAGGAACGCGTGCGGCGCGCTGCGGAATCTGTCGTACGGCCGGCAGAACGACGAGAACAAGCGCGCGATCAAGAACGCGGGCGGCGTGCCGGCCCTGATCAATCTGCTGCGACGGACGTCCGACGCGGAGGTCAAGGAGCTGGTTACGGGGGTACTGTGGAATCTGTCATCGTGCGAAGTGAGTGACCCGCCGAACCGCAGGAAATTGTTATAAAAACTAGAAGCGTGTTCAAATCTATTTATATTAATGACTTCTTTTTCTTTTTCTCTCTCTGTCTTATAGTTAGTACTGTTTGCAACAAAACAGAATTTTATTTACGCAGACTCGCGGTTCAGTCGTTTAACCCAGAAACGGTCACCTGGACTGTTTTTTATACCTGTCAAAAAAAATAAAGCTCATGTCACAGTAATTTTAATGTGCTTTTAAAAATATTTTTTTGTTTTTCTCTACTTTTTTCAGAAAATATTGAGTATATCTATATACGTATTGTCCTCAAATACTAATAAATTATAGAACAATGAAAAATATGCAATATGTAATGATTTTAATTGGGGTATAAAAAACCCCAAGGTGACCGAGTTAATTATAACTTCGATCAGAACAGAACCTTTTAATCGGGCGAGACTCTTCGAGGTCGCGGAGTGCTGACTTTTAACACCTGGCGATCAATTTCAGGACCTGAAGAAATCGATCATCGACGACGGCGTGACGATGGTGGTGAACAACATAATAATACCTCACAGCGGCTGGGACCCGAGCTCGTCGTGCGGCGAGACCTGCTGGTCCACCGTGTTTAGGAACGCGTCCGGCGTGCTGAGAAACGTATCGAGCGCGGGCGAGTACGCGCGGAAGAACCTGCGCGAGTGCGAGGGCCTGGTGGACGCTCTGCTCTACGTGATGCGTTCGGCGATCGAGAAGTCCAACATCAGCAACAAGATCGTCGAGAACTGCGTGTGCATCCTGAGGAATCTGAGCTACCGCTGCCAGGAGGTGGAGGACCCCAATTACGATAAACACCCGATCCAGTCCACGATGCAGAACAGAGTCACCGCGCCCGCGAAAGGTGAGCTCGGGAAGTACGATAAGAGAATTGTTTGAAGGATTCGATGCGCGACAGCGATCTAGATTTCTTTCTATCTTTTTCGAAGGGGGATGGAAAAAAAACTGGAAAAAATTAATACACTTTAATTTAAATTTAAGCTACATTTAATCTAATTGAAGGATATAAAAGTAAAACTTTTATACACACAAATATCCCAGTTTTAATTTATTAGGTTTACTTTAATTTATATTTGGCTCTCTTTTTCGTTTACTTTTTTCACACCTAATTATCACATTATAAGCAAAGAATATCTTCCGTCAGAGGTTTTAATTTTACCTAAAAAAATCTTGGAAATTAGAGAATCCGAAATGTGTTTTTATATCCCTCAATCAGATTAAGCTTAATTAAATTAAATTATATGAATTAAATTAGAAATAATTTTTACGAGTTCTTGAAGAATTGGGCCGTTTGTATAGATCCCTCGTATGGAGAGTAAACAAATAAATGTGCAATCGTGAAATTATTTTATCATAAAAGTAATTTGCACAGACCGTAAACATGTAAACGTAGTACTTAATAGTGTACTTTAACGAGGAAAAATAAATTGCGAAGACAGAGGGATACCTCGAGCGTTGCTTTTGGAACGAGTGTATGTTTTCCCACAACACGAGTCTCCCTCGATATGCATGTGGCCACAGTCAGACGTTGCGCGTGTGTGTACGTGTGTGCTTGTGTGTGTGTGTGTGTGTGTGTGTGTGTGTGTGTGTGTGTGTGTGTGTGTGTGTGTGTGTGTGTGTGTGTGTGTGTGTGTGTGCGCGCGCGCGTGTGTGTGTGTATGTAAAGATTGGGAGGGAGGAGTGAGGATAGGAGGTAAATGATTCACCCCTTAAACCAACCATGAAATTAGATCGGAGGGGACACGCAGCTTCCCTGTTGCAGACACTTTTCCAGCCATTGTGCGAAACTGTCGCGACGCGTCCTTAAAAGAACGGTTAATTATCTCACGCTAAATTCAAACAAGACAATTTGTCGAAATCTCTTGTTTCAGCGCGCGCGCGCAATCTTCGTAGATCTGAATCTTTAAATCTCCACGTTATCGAGAATTCCGATTTTCCCCCGTGAAAACCGTGTGAAATATTTACGCGCGAGTCGTTAAAATACTTACGATTACATTTGCTTGCGAAATAAGCAACATTGGCCTGAATGAAAATTGTACCATTAATTCTACCACTCACATTTCGCGCAGACACGGACCGCTCGCTGATATTTTACTGGCGCGTAGTCGGTAGTTTATACATAGTTAGTTTACGTAGCGTATTAAATTTGATTAAAACTTCCGGGGCCGCGGGGTTTACCGAAGTGAGGTAGCGTGAGGACGAAATTTGTATCGCTCCGTAAACCATAAATAACGTACTTAGAAAAGTGGCGATAGCAAAACGTTGCAATTATAAGAGTAGATGGTTTGCCCGTAGATAGATAACTGTACGTTTTCACAATCCTTCCACAATTAATTCTCAGACTGTCTCTTTTAATTTTGATTAATTTGCTTTTTAATGTTTTTCAAGACGGATGATGGATATAAACAGTGTACCCGGAAATGTACATACACGACGGCGATCCCGTATATCTTTGCGTACCTCTGTCTGTAACCGTTGAGTTTTCTGTCTCTTTTTCTGTTTTAGACAACAGTTAATTACACATGTATCCTAGTTGAACACTTAAAGAGTTCCTTTTCTTTTTGGTTGATTTTTCGGAATTTAGTTGACGAATCATACAGATTTTTTACGAATCCTAGTTCAGCATGGATTAAACTGTGTTTCAATCTTTTTAGCATACAGTTTATGTCAAGGTAAGCCCCCTCTTGCAATTCCATTGATAAATTATTAGTTTTCCGTTTTCGAAAACATAGTTATTGCATGCGTCGCCGCCTTGCCAGATCGTAAGCTGACCACGTTATATACATGAGTTTATATATTTTCCCTGTAAAAATAATTTCTTTTTCTTTTTATTTGATGTTGTAACCGCTACGTTTTCAAGCGATGATTTATACCTCTGTATACACTGTGTATTATTGCAAAATTGCTAAAATTGAAAAGCAAAATTGACCGACCACGAACAAATTCAACGAGCTTGCTGCAAATTATGGTATTTACAGTTTAGTTTCTAATTTTGTTTGTTGCGTAGATAAGTATTTCGTTTAACTTATTGTTAGCGGGTTAGTTAGAAAATTTAGAAGTAACAGGCGCCTTAGAAATACGAACACGCGAGTCGTACTTTTCTCAATATCGCTCAATATATCTCTGCAACGCTGCTGCAAGATGCAATATCGCGGAATAAGGAATCTTACGGAAAACGACTCGATAATTGGAACACAAATCAATCTGGTCCCGAATCTCAAGTAAAAATCAATCAATGTGACAACTGCCTCTTGGCTTTATAATATTCTCAGTTTCCTGGCGACTTATTAATACGAATCCTCTGTCATTCTGCTGTAGGTGAGAATCTGGGCTGCTTCGGCGGGAGCAAGAAGAAGAAGGACGGTCAGCCGGTCCAAAAGGAGACCACCGCGTCACGTACGACGAGTCCGCGGACCGAGCCAGTCAGGGGAATGGAATTGCTTTGGCAGCCGGAAGTGGTCCAATCGTATCTCAGTCTCCTGCAAACGTGTTCGAATCCGGAAACGCTGGAGGCCGCCGCCGGGGCCCTGCAAAATCTCGCGGCCTGTTACTGGCAGCCGAGCATCGAGATTCGCGCGGCCGTACGCAAGGAAAAAGGTCTCCCTATATTAGTGGAGCTCTTGAGAATGGAGGTAATTACGCTGTGTAAAATATTTAACCGTGAATACCCAAAGGGGACCCGGGATTATAAAATGTATATATGTTTAACTAATTTAAATAAACAATTAAATTAGTTAGAGTATATTTGGGCTGCCTCAACGAAATTATTATCCAACATTAATCTAATTATTTCACTTATTTTCTTTATTGCTCAAACTAACATTTATTATTTCATATATACAATTTCATGCATATAAAGATTTCCGATATTTAATTATATTTTTTATATTTCTAGATTTTGATTATATTTGTCAAAAGCTATTAGTGGATGATACGTAAATTATATTTTACTGCAGTAAATAATGGAAAGATATCTTTTCTAATTTCTGATATTTAGATCTTAAGTTAGTTATAGATTTAAGTATTACTAAGACTGAGATATTCAATTATTCTTCAAAATAAGTAAAATTGAATATTGTGGCTAATAATGTATTTTCTGCGGCTAGGTGGACCGAGTAGTCTGCGCGGTTGCGACCGCGCTCAGAAACTTGGCGATAGACCAACGCAATAAGGAGCTAATAGGCAAATACGCGATGAGGGATCTCATCCAGAAGCTACCGTCTGGAAATAATCAGCACGATCAGGGCACGAGCGACGACACGATCGCCGCGGTGCTCGCGACTCTGAACGAGGTCATCAAGAAAAATGCCGAGTTCTCGCGGTCATTGCTCGACGCCGGCGGTGTCGACAGACTGATGAACATCACCAGGCAACGCCAGAAATACACGCCGCGCGTTCTTAAATTTGCAGGTAACATTTTGCGGCAGGATATAGATCCAAAATAATTATCTAAATAGATAATACAAACGCATCATGAAAATATGTAACCGATTTAATTAATTGTGCGCATAATACATTATTATACATTATTATATTATTATATGTATATACGAGAGGAAGAGATTATCGTATTTACGCGTGTTTTTAGGACAAGTATTGTTTACTATGTGGCAACATCAAGAACTGCGGGATGTGTATAAGAAGCACGGCTGGAAGGAGCAAGACTTTGTCACGAAAACCGTCGCCGCCAGGAATTCAGGGCCTAATTCACCCAACAACGCTAACAGGTAATTATCACCTGTGATGGAGCAAAACGTATAAAATTAGTTACATACATGGCTGATAAGCTGCCGCAATAATGGCTAATTAAAATGTCAAAGTGACAATATAAATATCAAATTCAATTAACAGTTATTATTGAAAGATTTTTTAAAATTAAATTATAAATATAAATAATAGAACAATATTTTAAATTAAGTTTTGAAGTACTTGATATTATGTGTTATTTAACTTTCTGTATTTTTTAATTAATCTGATTTCTCTGTGTTTTTATTTACATTTAATTATCGAAAACATTATTTTATCGTCATTAAATTAAATTACTTTGATTTCTCCTGAGTATGAATTTATGATATTGCTTTCTGGTATTTTCATTTCTGGGACTCCGCTTATCTTTCGTTTATGATTTATTCGTTTTGTTACGTGAATTTATTTATGATTATTCGCGATATTTATTATGCGGAGTCCTCCCTCTTTTCTCTCGAGCAACTCGATTCTACGTTAAAATACAGCTATGATTGCAGCACTCTGAATCGACCGATGGCGAGCCAGGGAAGCACAAGATACGAGGATCGAACAATCCAGCGAGCAAACATGAATTCGAATAATGTCGGTCGACCTACTATATATCAATCAGTAAGTAATAATAACTAACAGCATCACTAAATAAATATACGCCGCGTAGACACACCATAGGATGAGAAAAGTGTATTGAAGCGTAGGGAAAGAAACCACACGTTATATGCAATCTGAGCTGTCAGTCTTACGAAAAAGTTTACTAATATTTAATAAATAATTAAA